CTCTTTCTGGATGGAGCGTGTCAGGCCTGATGGCAACAGTGAGATGAGGAGGGGGTCTGTACTGCACGACGGGTATTTATCTACTCCGGCGCTGCTACTTTCACAGGCTAGCTGATCAGTACAGCAGCGGCCAGGAAGGAGTGATAAGGAAACTGGCGGGAGGTATCGCTCACGCACCTGAGGTGAGTCCATGGACAGCCCGGCATTTTGGGGAAGGGGGGTAAAGTGTCGCTTCTGTATGCAGACAGCGCTACTCTGCAGTTTACATAGTGGTGCTGCCCACAGGAGGTGGGAGAGGCAGGCTGGGGGGAGGGGACCAAAGAGGTGATCGCCGCTGCTGAAGCTGCGGCAGTTTCCCCCATCGTCCTGCCGGCGGCAGCCCTGTCCCCCGATGAATTTCCACCCGCCCCCACGCAATTTTCACTCGCCAATTGCGAGGGGGCGAGTAGAAATTTTGAGCCCTGCATTACACTATAATGTGTTATTGCAAGTATTTGTTGTATTCCTCTATAGCTGGTGGTATTCTGCATTGCGCTGTATAATGTACTATTGCTGGGATGTGTTGTATTCCGCTATACAGTGCAATGCAGAATACCACCAGTTATAGAGGAATACAAATCCCAGCAATAGTACATTATACAGCACAATGCAGAATACCACCAGCTATAGAGGAATACAACAAATCCCTGCAATAATACATTATACAGTGGCACATTTCAGAACATCATGAGCTATAGAAGAATACAAAAAAATCACAGCAATAATACATTATACAGCGGCGCAATGCAGAATACCACCAGCTATAATGTACTATTGTTGGAATTTGTTGTATTCCTCTATAGCTGATGGTATTCTGTATTGTGCTGTATAGTGATTACACAGCGCAAAGCAGAATACCAACAGGTATAGAGGAATACAAATCCTAGCAATAGTACATTATACAGCGCAATGCAGAATACCACCAGCTATAATGTACTATTGCTGGGATTTGTTGTATTCCTCTATAGCTGGTGGTACTCTGTATTGTGCTGTATAATGTATTATTGCTGGGATTTGTAGTCCTCTATAGTAAGTGCCATTCTGCAATGATTGCTGTATAATTTTACACTTTCCATTTCACTATATTGCACACCACATTTATTTTTATTTTTTTACTGCCACCACACCAAACTTGCTCCTGTGATGGACTACAATCTCAATACAAACTAGTAGTCCATCACCAGAGCCATTTTCTTTTATCCGATTAATTGAACTTAATAATCGGCTAACTAATCGATTTTGAAAATAATCGTTAGCTCCAGCCCTAGCCAGGATTGCATTAAAGTGCATCTACCGTTTTGCAGCAAACACTATGGTAGGGCCCAAAGAGGTGATCGCCGCTGCTGAAGCTGCGGCAGTTTCCCCCATCGTCCTGCCGGCGGCAGCCCTGTCCCCCGATGAATTTCCACCCGCCCCCACGCAATTTTCACTCGCCAATTGCGAGGGGGCGAGTAGAAATTTTGAGCCCTGCATTACACTATAATGTGTTATTGCAAGTATTTGTTGTATTCCTCTATAGCTGGTGGTATTCTGCATTGCGCTGTATAATGTACTATTGCTGGGATGTGTTGTATTCCGCTATACAGTGCAATGCAGAATACCACCAGTTATAGAGGAATACAAATCCCAGCAATAGTACATTATACAGCACAATGCAGAATACCACCAGCTATAGAGGAATACAACAAATCCCTGCAATAATACATTATACAGTGGCACATTTCAGAACATCATGAGCTATAGAAGAATACAAAAAAATCACAGCAATAATACATTATACAGCGGCGCAATGCAGAATACCACCAGCTATAATGTACTATTGTTGGAATTTGTTGTATTCCTCTATAGCTGATGGTATTCTGTATTGTGCTGTATAGTGATTACACAGCGCAAAGCAGAATACCAACAGGTATAGAGGAATACAAATCCTAGCAATAGTACATTATACAGCGCAATGCAGAATACCACCAGCTATAATGTACTATTGCTGGGATTTGTTGTATTCCTCTATAGCTGGTGGTACTCTGTATTGTGCTGTATAATGTATTATTGCTGGGATTTGTAGTCCTCTATAGTAAGTGCCATTCTGCAATGATTGCTGTATAATTTTACACTTTCCATTTCACTATATTGCACACCACATTTATTTTTATTTTTTTACTGCCACCACACCAAACTTGCTCCTGTGATGGACTACAATCTCAATACAAACTAGTAGTCCATCACCAGAGCCATTTTCTTTTATCCGATTAATTGAACTTAATAATCGGCTAACTAATCGATTTTGAAAATAATCGTTAGCTCCAGCCCTAGCCAGGATTGCATTAAAGTGCATCTACCGTTTTGCAGCAAACACTATGGTGGACTAAAATGAAAAAGGAAAGTAATTCCCTGATTTGTTTAAAAAAATTCTGTTCCAGGCCAGAGCAATGGAATTCAGCTAACATTCACTACAGAACTTTTTTATACATATGAAGTTAAAAAAAAAGCAGTGTGATGGGAAGGCAGGCCAAATAGATCACTCTTATTATTGTGAATTCATAAACTCACAAGCCCTTGCTACTATATGCCAGTAAATATTCTTCTCTCACAATAACTGTTCAAACATGATAAGTTGTACAGGAGATCTGTCTCACATGCAGCCCATAAAATCATGATAAATTTTCAGTGAGACATAAACATTGTGTCAGGGAAGCTGGCCGCTTATTACAGACATCTCAGCCTTGTGTCATACATCTGCAGATGGACAGACAGTTTTTACTGTACGACATTAATAGAACTTTCAATTATTCCAGAGAACACGGTACGTTTTAACTCAACCAGATTACAATACATTTTATTCTGACGCTTGTTTTATTTGCTGAGTAAAACAAAACCGATTCAATTTCCCAGTAAAGCTATAAACTGCAGAGAGACAATAAGTTAAAGACGAATCATGTTATTTGAGAAAGAGAGATGCCAATTTAATCCTGCAGAGAATAGTGTGTCTTATTTCCAGAGAATGAGCCAGCTATAAATGATCAATGATGAATAATGAGTCTTTTAATACATGTTTAAGATGGTTTTCTATGTACCATTGCGTTGATCAGGTGCTGAAACACACCAGTCATCACATACGGTATGAAGGAGCCCTCTTGTGTATTGTGCATGATTTATAAAACCTGAAGACAAATACTGACAGAAGCAGTAGTGGGCATAAAGTCCCCACTATAAATGTATAATAAAAACAAATAACACACTGGACTAAGAATAAATGGTCAACATGTAGGAATAAAACATCTACATTTATAAAAATAACTGACAACTTGTATTCAACTAATTGTATGAAAGTTAGATTGTTGTATTCACCATTAAACCATTTTCTCCAGCAATTCATTTGGGACACAGTCTCTGACCTCTGGGTATATGCCCTTCTCCAGGAGGTTGGATACTAGGCAAAATCAAAGGCACAGTCTCACCTAGTGGTTATACCCACACACTAAAGCAAGCTCAGGAGTGGCACGCAGTGAGTAAAGAAATCCATTTTTCTCCCAGCATTCATTGGTGGGCACAGTCTCTAACCTCTGGGATGTCCAAAAGAAGTCTCAAAAAAGGGGGAGAGAAAAAATTACACCAACAGGCATACCTCTAGTGTTGTAGAATTACACAATCCCACCCCTGCCTAGAGTACTTTGTGATTAAAACTGGCATCAGCCAACGCCGCAACATTGACACATTAGAATGAGCAGGAATAGGGAACAAGAGCTCCGGTCCTTTGATACAATAAGCCTGTAAACAAATCTGAGTGAACTTGGTTTTTATAGTGAAATTTGCAGATTGCAGGTTCTGTGCCAATGGGACTTTGATAATCAGATTGTTAAGATAGGCAAGCGCCGAGATGCCCCTGGGTCTTAGTACCACCAGTCCTAAAACCAAAACTTTGGTTAAAAACTCTGGGAACTGTGGCCAGCAAAGCCACAAACTGGAAATGCTGCTCCCCAAAGCAAAACACAGAAAATGTTAACTGAGAGAGAAGGCAGGGGCATGGAGATATGCAACTCTACTTGGGCAATAAACGTTCACAACCATTTGGGCAGATTCCATCCAATATTTTTGGAGACAAAGGCATTTAGAGGCTTAAGTTACAGAATGATACAGACTGACCACCACCTTGCTTGGCTACCATGAACAGATTTGAATAAAGCCTAGGAGGGCTCCCAAGGAGGTAATGGAACTACCACTCCTTATGAAATTAGCCCCTGTACTGCTCCAAAGGCACCAGAGGTGAAATAGTGAGATATAAAGGATCCTTAATTTTCAGCTGGATAGAGACGTACGATCTAAGAACACCAAGCTAAAGTAAGCTTACTAGGTAAGTACAGGGTTACAGCCATTAGGTAAGCTGTGCCTTTGATTTTTTTTACCTCGTGTCCAATCTAGAGGCAGTGCATATACTCAGAGGTCAGAGTCTGTGCCCACAATGACCCGGAAATACAAAGTTTAACACTAAAAGTGTTCTAGTTTTTTTTAAAGTGCCCTGGAGTTGTGTTAAAGGATTAATGTATGGTTTTTGGTACGTGCTGGCACACTGAATAACTCATCAGTTATCTTCTCTAGCAGACAGATCCCTAGACCCATGTTCCTGAAATCCACCCACCTGCCACAGCTGTTATAAAAAGATCTCCACCCTCCCTGTAGGTTTTTTAATGTATCTTACATGACAATAAATGCAGCGTCAATCCAAAGGTCTAACCACTAGATTCTACTCATGAGGTACAAGAAACCAGTGAGTAATTCATCAAACCAGCTTCCAAACAGGACTAAAATTTAGGTTTTAAGGGTTGATGTTTTAAAACAGAGCCTTCAAACTAGAAGAAATGAGCCTTCACGAAACAAAAAAGAATAGGGTCAAGCACATTCCACAACAATGTCTAACATAAGTAAAATGCTTTAAAAACACCACCATGAAAAAAAGTACTTACCTTGGGAGGTTTGGTGCAGATGCTGATGTGACCACTGCAGTTGGAGAAGAAGGAGTAGAAGGCTGTGGAGATTCTGGAGCACGTGGGACTCTTCCCATTCTATACCAGATGCCCATACTATTTAGTTCCCTTTAAGCAAACATATGAAGTATTTTTAGGACACAAAGCTACACATTAAATAGACTGCAGATAAAAAAAAAGTAAAGCAATTATAATGATCTTTGCTTAACTGTGTTCTTGTTTCTTTTTATGGGCAAGCAGCACCCCAAAAGTACAGTCTGTTTCTTTCAATGATAAGCTTGCTTTAACCTGAATTATAGGAATTTAATTTCCTAAACTTCTACTTATTTTCCACAGGAACCTCAACTCTCCCACCAAACATGACATTTATTTTTACTTGAACGACACTACCAGCATGTAATGCAAAGCTTAGAGTTGCCAACAGAGAGGCTGTAGAAAGACGTGTGTAAGTCAGCCCTTTTCTACCACCTTTTTATCTCAGCAGACTCTAAAGGGACTTCCACAATTTAATAGGGATGATAGGGATATAAAAGAAAGGATTACAGGCAAACCCGGAAATTGATCATAGAAATGTTTCACTAAATATATGTGTGGCTTTTCTTCACTAGCTTTCTAAAAGGAGCCATGAACGAGTTGTACTCCCACGGGAAAATTATGTATTTTCAGCATGGCGACATCTCTAGAGACAGATACATATGTTTGGGACAGGACTGTATGTAGGCACGATCAGAGGTTCTAATGGACCACTAAACAAAAACCTTAAAGTGAACTTGCTGCTCATAACATTCCCAAACTATGTATACTAAATACCTATATCAATACAGAAAATATACTATATACTTATAAGCTTAAAGTTAGTTGTAAGACTAACTAAGAGTTAGTTGTAAGATCAGATACAACTTAATTTTAAATTCCATTCAGTTTTTTTATGATCATTTTTGTGAATCTTGTGATTCAACATCATCATCATCATCATCAGATATGCACACTCTTTTTGAATTGGCTTATCACTTAAAGAGGAACTTTACCCATATCTTCAAAATAACAACAAATACACCTTTAGAAATGTTCACTAATGACAATCTAGAAACAGATACTTCTAGATAACTGCAGGCGGTTTATTCTTTACATACCGTGTTTTTCTTTTCCTACAGAATCCTCTGAAAGTGGCCATTTTTACTAAGGGCAGGTTACTAGATCTCCCTTTACTTCCTGGAACTCTGGCACATGTGACTAGGACATGTGACCATGAACATCATCTCAGTAGAGGAAAATGCCTTTCCCTGAGATCTCATGAGGTTACAGGAGATTTTCAGGCAATTCTCCGCTGATGTAACCTTCCCAGAATGCATTGCATGAGCACAATTACATAATTTGTGCCAAAGTAGACCAGAAAGTAGAAAAGACATTTAAAGTAAAATAAAATTATATTTGTTTAGCTAATGAATGTAAGATGATTTCATATCAGCATGCAGAGCTTCACGTTGAGGTGATTTTTAGTCAAAGGGGGTAAAGGTCCGCATTAATAGTCAGCTACAGTTCAATATAACATTTTACCAAAGAATGAACATACCAACAACAGACATGTGAAGACTAATGCTGGCCACACTGGTTACAAACTGATTGTACAATCTCCTGTACATTTACCAATATGGGACAATGTGACTGAAAGGGACTACCTTGAATGGACTTTTTGGGAAGGCCCATATGCTACAAAATTGTTAAGGATGCTGATCACAAATGTAGTCATCTTAAAAGCTAAAATGAAGCTGTACTCACCCAATAAATGTGTACTGTGGTGGAGCCTGTTTAGAGCGGCTTAAAATACGAATATCACATATGGCAGCTTCTGTGGAATCTCGTGGGATGAACTTTATGCACAGACGCTTCTTTCTAAATGCAACTTCCTCTGCAGGGGAATAATGAATAAAGTGATATAACTGTACAATAAGCAGTGCCATCCCAGTTGTATTTATATACAGAAAACGCTTGTGTGCATTATAGTTTAGGGTCAGAATTCAGTGTTTTACATAAGGCATATGCAGACACCTGTTGGTTCCAGTGTCATATCCCAGAGAGAGCTATTACTTAAAGTCCATTTCCACCTTAGTAAGTGATTAGCATTTATTGTGGTAATGTAGAGGTGGGGTGATGATGTATACACTTGCACATTTTCATGACTCGCAATGCAGGCTTTCTTCATTTTTTTATGATTATGAATCTCCAAAAGAAATTCAATCTTAGGCTCCATTCACACTGGAGCGGCTGTCTGCGCGTATTCGGCTGTACGGATATGTACGGAGCCGCTCTAAATAGAGAGATCAATGCACTTTAACATGCATTGATCAGACTATTGCGGGGACCGCATGGTACAAAACCGCACGCCCCCCAAAATAGTACAAGTGCAATAATCCGGTGGATTCTGCACGTTCGCAGCTATTTAATAGCCGCAAACGAGCGGCATCCGTGTAGATTAAATTTTTTTGTTTTCGCCCGGAAAACCGCGTAGGAAACACAGATACTATAAGTGAATGGAATCTGACACAGGGTGTCAGACTGTAAACAGCTGCCCCCCCTTCCTGTCACCCATTGTAACACGATCACTAAACACCAGCTCTGCCTTTACACACAGTACACTGTCAAGGGGGGGTATACACACATTGCTTGCAAAGCACAGAGACTGCAATTTCTGAGATTATGATAATATAAAGAGAAAAGCTGACAAAAAATTTTTTTTTGGTTTTCATATACATCAACTCCATATGTCTGTTTCATGCACACTCGCTGTACATTGCTGGCTTATGTTTTTTTTTAAATACCTCTGCAAAGATGGAAATGGGCTTTAAATCAGTATAAAGCAGTTGTCATCAGAGGTAGCTAAATGTGAAAGGCCACTGGGCCTTGGAGACAGAATGAAGTCCAGGTAGAGATTGATGTGAAAGCATGGACCGAGCCATGCCACATTTCTTTGAAAAAGCTCCCTTTGGAAGCGAAATGAGTTAGCTAATGGTGGAATTTTGATTGTAGAGCCTGGGGTGTGGAGCATGGCAAACGCACTGTACACAAGGTTGGGGAAATATGGAGAGCACTTTATTTTCCTGGCATTTTGCTGGGACACAGAGAACCGTGAGTTATAGCAGGCTATACTATACTTTACTATACTATTTCCAGCTGTCCTCCTTTTAATGTGCCATGGAAACTATGTTTGGAATGATTTGATGATGGGAACACTCGTTTATAACCAGTCTGTACTTTCTGGCCCCATCTACATGTATTGAAAGGACATTTACTTATATAGACTCATACAACAGGAGAGGCAGTGATACAACCACGGTAGGTCTGCACCCCCATTGCTGTGAACGGTGAGCATTGTGTAGACTTGTGCTTTGTCTTCCTCTGGAGAAAGTCTGTTTAATTTTGGTGTCAACTATAGTCTACCTGAAAATTTGTGTTGGAGATATATATATAGATATAGATATCTATATCTATAGATATCTATATATAAATTTCCTGGCTCACCTCATGTCAACATACATACATACATACGGGTCAACTCCACCCCTCTGACCCCACAGGACCACCTCTGAAAAGCTAATAAAAAGGAGATTACCTCCCCCCCCCTTTTTTTTGCTCCAGGCCACGTGAAAACATTGTGATGGATGCTCCCTACTAACTCCCAGCCGGGTTCAACCTCCCCCGAGTTGGATGACCTCTCTGCTGGTAGTTAAACTCCTTGGGAGTGGGTGCCCTTGGTGCGGGGTTTATATAGTAACAGATTCAGTATTTGGTCAGTGCTGGGCGAGAGAGCTGGTGACTAATATTTTTCATTCCTTTCCCAGGATGGTTCAGCTGCAGGTGTGCTCTTGTCCCGATGCAGCCGTTATCATAGCAGCGGCAGGACGCGGGCGAACAGACTACTATGTGCGCAGGCGTCTTTTCGGGCCACGTGTACCCCGTGGACGGCATCGGACGGCTTTCACTGCGCAACTGCATAGGTTGCCATAGTGAGGGCGGGACGCTGTTACTCTGGGCATGCGCGGAACTTCGTGCTTGACAGCGAGCAGGACCAATCACCAACAAGCTGTGCGGTTTTAACCCGCTGGTAGACACTGTTCATGTCGGCTCATTTGTGTCCTGTCCTCTGTCTGTTCGGTTGTCTGAATCTGCGACCTGCTGCTACTGAAGAGCTATTCTCTAGCTCCGTGGCTCTCAACCTGTGTAACCTCAGGACCCACATTTGTCCATGGTCATTAAGTCGCGACCCAAGTCGCACCACACTGGAACGCATTTTCTCACAGACACATTCTCACACACGTACACACTCCCACAAATATTTTAAGGCGTTCAGTGTGGGCTGCTGTGCTGTAACAGAGCTCCATTCATATGCGCATTGCTTGTACAGCTCCTTTGCACTCCCTGTAGATGTCCCCAGAGCCAGAATGTGATATCACTCAGGTATCGTCATAAATCGAATCAATGACATGCTTCTCTACAAGGCAGGAGTTCGGCCTTTCCGTCAGGATCATGTTGGGCATGTTCGTCTCAGACCTTACCAGGCAAAATGGTGTGCCACAGACAGAGAAGCAGATGCGCTGGAAATTAAGTCCTACATACATTAACCAGTTGACATCCGCGGTGTTAAACCCCCTTCCCATCCAGGCCATTTTTCAGTATTCAGCGCTGCGGTACTTTGACTGACATTTATTCCGTCATGCAGCGCTGTACTGAAATGAGTGCAGGAGAGTCTGAAAAATCTTCTTCCATCTGTGGCATCTTCTTCCCTAAACCTTAATTAGTTTTGGATGAGGGAGAAGTCATTTCAGAAGGTTCCTCAGCTCCGGAAGGACAGGACTTCCATTCATTTGATTTCAGCCTTTTTGTACCCTTCATCAAGGCAAATAAAGAGGCCATTGAATGGGAGGGGGCTGCTCCTCCTAAGAAAGTACCTAAGTATTTTCCAGGCCTTAAAAGAGAAGGCCCCACTTGTTCCTTCATGCCAGAGGTCAAAGATCTCATCGAGGGAACATCCAGACATAAAATTTAATTTCCAAAATCGCTCCCTAAAGCTTTATCCCTTGAATGCGGCCGCCGGCAGTAGATGCAGCTCTGCAGCGCCTGGCACATCACGAGCCTCTTCCACTAGACAATTCGGTGGCTTTTAAGGATGCAATGGATCGCCGAGTAGGTGTGGATTTGAAGAGAATTTACTCTACAGCTAGATGGGCCTTACGTCCAGCTTTACCATTAACGTCTCTCTTAAAAGCTTTAAAGGTTTGGGTATCGAATGTTGATACGGCACTGAAGTCAGGCCTTGACAACACCCAGATTGCGGCTGCACTGGAGGAGCTGAATTTATCTGTGGACTTTATGGCCATAGATCTGGTTCGCCTTTCCTCAAAATTGATGGTTCATTCAGTCACAGCAAAAAGGGCATTATGGATGGGGCACTGGACGGCTGACACAGCCTCAAAAACAGGCATTATATTCTATTCCGTACAGTGGTAAGAATCTGTTTGGCAGAATGCTGGAGGACGTAATTAAAAGAGTGACAGGAGGAAAATCGGGACTTCTTCCTCAGGGCTATAGACGTAAACAGCAGCCCTTTCGAGCCAATCAGGGGTCGCAAAGATTTAGAGATGTTAGAACATACAAACCGGGTAGACAATTTTCCAAACCCCAGTGGAGAGGAGCGCAGTCGCCCTTATTGCGAGCTATGAAGACAAAGGCCGGACAGGCGGCGAAGGCTGCAAATAAACAGTTCTGAAGGTGCGCCGGTAAGTGCGAGACTATTAGCCTTCAGGGACGCCTGGGTGACGGAAATACAGGATTATTGGGTCAGAAGTATAGTCAGCAACGGATATCGCATAGAGTTCAAGACTCTTCCTTCACCACATTATGTGAACACATGGATTCCTCGGGAAAGGTTGAAAAGAAAATTATTTTTCGATGATGTTGCAGAGTTGCTAATGAAGAAAGCTATTACTCCGGTTCCATGGGAGGAATAGAATCGGGGTTTCGATTCCCCTATCTTTCTAGTCAAAAAAGCCTCAGGAGGTTTCAGGCCGGTCCTAGACCTGAAAACTTTTAATGTCTTTGTTCAAGTAAACTCGTTCAGGATGGAGTCAGTGCAGATGATCGTCTCTGTGGTCCAGGCTGGAGAATGGATGATATCAATAGATTTGGAAGATGCATATCTCCATGTGCCAGTAGCGGATTGTCATCAGAAATACTTGCGGTAGCGGGGCAGCATTTTCAGTTTTGCGTCCTGCCTTTCCGCCTCTCAACAGCTCCACGGACCTTTTCCAAAAGGAATCTGCTTTTTTTAGCTTGTTAGAGGTGGTCCTGTGGGGTCAGATGGGTGGAGCTGACCCGTATGTATGCCGACATGAGGATGAGGAAAAGAAAGCTACGGCAATATGAAAAAAATGTGTGTGTGTATATATATATATATAGCTCGAAAAATCCACTCGTCTGTGACGAGCAGACGTGGTGCCCGACGAGCAGTCAAGCCATCGAGCATCTCGGCAGTGACAGCTTGTATCAGAAGCTGTCACTGCCGTTGCCGGTCCCGAGATCCGCTGTGCCCGATGCGGCCGGGACCGGCACGGCTCTGTGACAGGAGATCAAAGGGAGTTCAGTATACAAACTCACTTTAATCTCCTCTCAGTCCCCGAATGCAGGAAGTGATGTATATTACATCACTTCCTGCATTCAGTGTCACTCTCCAGCTAGAGAAGCTGATGAAGCCAATCTCTGCTTCATCAGCTTCTCTGGAGGTCCCTAGGTGACATTAGGGGTCTTGGAGACCCCTGATGTCTCCATAAAGAGGACCTGTCATGTAAATTGGCTATCCCATAGGGGGCTTCTTAGCCCCCCATGTAATAGCAATAAAGTTGTATGTAAAAAAAAAAAAGTAATACAAAAATGAAAGATTCATAAAAAAAATAAAGAAGCATAACATTTATTTTTTTAAACATATTTTTTTAAGTCCGCGCCCCCCTAATACACACGCGTATATGCGCCAGGTGCGCCTACGTGCCGCACATGTTGCATATCGCCGCAAATGGAGTGAGAGCAATAACTTTAGAGCCATTAAGGCCGGGTTCACACCTGGGCGTTTTACAGCGCTGATCGACGCGCTGTAAAACGCCCTGCAAGTGAAATCCCATTATTTCCTATGGGCATGGTTCTCACTTGGGCGTATTTCAGCGTGTCGGAACGTGCTGAAAAACGCCCTATGCCCTAAGAAGTACAGGAGCTTCTTTGGGGCGTATTTCCGCGCGTATCCATTAGGATACAGCCGGATAGCCCTGTGGGCTGTAAATCGCGGGTCATACACCGCATATTTCAAACGCCTAGGTGGGAACCCAGCCTAAAGAAGAACTATGAGGTGAGTGCTTTTCACATATCGGTGTTCGATCACTTCTCGATCCTGTCACGGCACAGAGCCGTGACAGGGGAGGGGCTGGACCATAGTTCTCCTTTAATCACTGACACTAAACTGATGAACAGTAAAATCATTTTAATCGTCACCTATGGGCATTTTTTGAGATTTTTGCGGGCGCATGCAATTTAGGCTTGAAATGTTTGGTGTCTATTTACCCGACGTGACCCTGACTACCATATATGCCCAAACAAATCAGATCTGAACCTTCCGCCAACGTACAACCCAAATACTTACCTGTTTAATGATTTCTACATGTTGATGTCTAGAACTAGACTATATTCTATAAATTATTTATTATAATCGGTTCTACTCTGTGTCTTATTCCCTTTGGAGCGAGGTTTTTAATTGGTTTTATCTGGGTTGTTGGGATTTGTTATATATACTGTTCTATATGAACATTGAATGAAACATTATCGTACAGCAAAAAATAAGTGTTCTACTCCAATGCAAAGGAATGGTCCTTGTTCAAGATATTATTTTTCAGTGTTGTAGCCATAGCCATAAAGCATCGTTTAACAAGAATCATTTACTCATCCTTTAAGATATAAAGTGCACTCACTTTTTGCTGTAAAATATTTTGCTATGCTGCTAAACATAAGGCCCATTTGGGTCATCACATCTTGTGCATTCAACAACCTACATCTTGCAATGCATAATGGTTTCTGGTTTGCACTCAATTTTTTTCTTTCTCCGGGCTAAGAATGGCATGTGACATGCATATTGTTGATACAAAATATAATGAAACACTCATCATGTGTGGGGGAGTGACCGGATGCCGTGCTAGAGCCTAAAGCCGAATACTGCTCTCCCTACTCAGCTGCTGCTGCGGTTATTTATCTAGTCAGAGGCACAGACGAGCCCTATCTAGGAGCCCCACAGGAATTACCACCTACCGTTTTGTAAGAAGGGGGGGAGATGAGGCACAACAGGAGTTCGAGGTCTTCCAAGATACCCAAGACGACCAAAGAGCCCAAACCGGCAAAAGCAGCGAAGACGGCAATAAAGACGAGCAGCGCCCCCAGCTCGCCGCAGAAAATCAACACAGGAATCAGATCTTACTTCAAATCGCCGAACCGCGCACTCGAGCACACAGGGCTGACGTCAGACACCGCGACTACCTCGATGTGCAGCAGACCCTATAGCGGGAGCGAGAGAGACCGAAGTGTTGGATCCCCCTCTACAGTCATACGACCGGGCAAAACGATTGACTGCCTTATGGAGCATGAATATAACGGCACCACCACCGAGGTATGTAATCAGTTTTCTTGTATTCCCGGTGCCTCTCCCAATACACTTCCCCTATGGCAGTCATCGATCAGCGAAGAGCGGGCAGAGAGCTCTCCTGCCTCCTCCTCTGACAGGCAATCACTCCCGATAATATATGCCGCAACTATGGAACCCTCACTCCTGCCAACTCCCTCTCATCCCCTAACTGTAAAGGCTAAAGAGGAACCTAATCACTTTAAGGCAGAAAACATCCAAAGAAAAGTTGGCTCTAAACGCACTCTGCACACAAATACAAATTAGTAGAGGACATCATATGTTAAGACAGATTAACAGCTTTAGCAGCAGCCTAAAGTTTAGTATTTTTTTAGTTAATCAATTTAAAAATGTACTTAAATTGTATTGTCCCTAGTGAACAGTTAGGCCTATTAAGCTTCAATAATTTTTCTAGAGGAGTAAGGTAACTCCTATGGGAAACGAAAAGGGATTGCACTCTGGAGAGCTAGAGTGGGGAGAGCTGCTCTTGCTCCTATTCCTTTGACACTACCCCCCCTCGTTTTGTTTAGTTTTGATTAGTTCTAGATAAGCTGAATTATTATAATAGTTTAGCTTTACCACTGCTTGTAAAGCCTAGCAGAAAAGTATGCTAGGGTACTGTCGAAATCCTCGGATTTCGATAAATGCAGTTTTCAATTTTAATTCTGGTTTACGCCAAGAATATGTTACATGCATCTATTGTCTTGATTTCTTTTTTTCGTTTTTTTTTTTCTCTTTCATATACTTTTTGTTATTGTTTACTTTCTTTTTTGATTAATCTGAAGAAACTCCTTCACGGGAGACTCTACCTTTCACATCATATATGGGGCTTTTTTAAAATGACACCAAGGGAATCCATACACCTCTTGGGGGGCTACCAGGTAGGTAAGTTTGGTTTATTTTTCGTACTGATGGAACTGTATATACTGATATCTAATTCTCCTATATATCAATGGCAACGTTAAGTAGATAAGGATTAAATTACAAAATATAATGATGTACAGGGTGTCAAGGTATACTTAAAAAGAACTACTTCAGACATTGAAAAGTGTCAGCCCTAATGACTATGCTTACTGGATAAACCTGTAACAGTTGCCTTCCTGTTGCCAGGAAACCTATACTAATCTCCTTTTGAGATTGTTAGTTACCTGGTTCTGTAGCTGTTCGAATGGCTTCAATACTTTAAGTTACTGATCAAAAACAAGTATTCAAAAAAGGAGTTCTGACTTCACTTGCTGCATGCTTGTTCTGGATAAGTTACTTAGAAACTACACAAAGTCAAGGAACCAACATTTCCAAAACGAGCTTAGCAATGGCAGTCTCTATTTCTCTTAGCAGAGCTGGAGGCTAGTTTGAGGCGAAATCATTCAACAGTTACGTCAAACATGCATTTGTGAATTGAACAATTTTAGGAGAAATTACCACAAGATAAAATGAGAACTAAAAAAACGAATCTGTTTTGCAGAAACAACCCCATTTTCCTCCTGGTTTTAAACAGTATTGCTGCTAGGGGCTTACGTTTATCCCTATGAAAGATAAGCGGACTCCACAACCATATCAGATAGGCCACAAACTGTGCATACACAAACTGTGCATACATATTATACATTAATGTGTCAACACTGGAAAAAGTACTATAAATACAATATGAATCTTTAGCTAGTGTGCATGCAGTAATGCAAGGAACTTACGTGTGTCCACTGTCTCCTGGATGGGGATAAAGCCAACAGGCAATGTGTCTTTGATATCTATCAGTTTCATATCCACCAGCACATTCCCTAAATGGCTCTAGGAGAAAAAACATATAGTTAAGCATACGACTGATATACTGAAAATCAACACAATGCATAAATTGAGGACTCACATTCTCTCTGGAGAACGCTCTGGTGAAACACAAGTATCTTGTCACCTTGGACTTAAATAAACCATCTTTCCACAGATCGGCATCCAGACCATCTGTTGTCTGAGAGACCTGTGATATGGTATAAGAAAGGGTTGTAAGTATCAGACAATGTAGCTTTTATGTCAAAAAATTTAACTAATGCATTTGTTTGATTGCAAAACTTAGAGTGGACCTATATGTAAATGACCCACCAAAAGTACAAGCCCCACATAAATTGAAATATGCAGGTCACCAGATTATCTGCTGTATTACACAGTTACATAGTTGATGAGATTGAATAAAGACACAGGTCCATTGAATTCAACCTATGTGGGTGTGTGGGTGTGTGTATGTAACTCATAACTAAAAGTTACCTGTACCCCAGTATACTCTGCTCTCTGAAGAAAACAACTAAAATATTTTTTCAGCTAAGAGTCAATACTCTTAGCTGAAACCACTGACTGCAGAAGGGAGTTCCACAATTTTACCACTCTTACAGTAAAGAATCCCCCCGGTAGTTTTAGATTAAGGGCTAGTTCACACCAGATGCAGTTGTGATGCAGTCCATTCAGTTTGGCAGCTGCATCAAAATCACATCACACTAGTTCAGTCAATTCCAATGCAGTAAGAAAAAATCCTGCTTGCCACATTTTAGCTGCACCTGACCACAACGGAACTCACCAAATGATGCAAACACACTGGACTGCACCTTAAAGCCCATTTTAAGCTAACAACAAATGCAGTAAAAAGCTGTAAAATCAAGGTAAACCCACGGCAAAATGCGTTGCACTGCAGCTGAGCAGACGTATGCAGTTATGGAATGAACTAGACCTAAAAAAAATTTCTTGCAATTTCAGGTTTGGCCCCTTGTCCTCTTAACTGAACTAACAGTAAACAGTTTATCACTGATTCTACCACCACCATTGAACAATTTGTACATTGCTAACATGCCCCCCCTTTTCCAGAGTGAACAAGTTTAATGTTTGTAATCTTTCCTCATAGCTTTGGCCCTCTAACCCCTTTTTTTGCTTTGTTGCCCTTCTCTGGACTTTCTTCAGCTGAAAGACATGCTTTCTGTGGATCGGTAACCAAAACTGAACCAGATACTCAAGGTGAGGCTGACCAGGGGTTTGTAAAGAAGCAGAATTATTGATTTGTCTTCACAATACATTCCCTTTTTTACATAAAAGTAGTCTAGTAGCCTTATTTTCTACAGCCTGACATTGCATGCCGCTGAAGTCTTCTATCGATTAGGTGCCCCAAGTCCTTTTCCACCTCCAATTTCTCCAGTGGAGCTCCATTAGTGAGTAGCGTGCATGCATATTTGTAATACCAACATGCATAACCTTACATTTTTCAACATTAAATCTCATCTGCCATGTAGTTGCCTACTTCCCCATTTTATCCAGGTCCTCCTGTAGTATTGCTAGCACAGCTTCCAAGTTTTTTACACTACAAATTGTGTGTAGAAAACACTGAAATATGGCTATTGACACCAACCCCAATATCATTAATAAACAGGTTAAACAGCACTGGCCCCGAGACGGAACCCTGGGGCACGCCACTGCCAACCATTGACCCCTTAGAAATGTATCAATACTCTCTGGGTACGATCCTGTAGCCAGTTCTCTATCAAGGCACACACCATTTTGTCGATGCCCAACGATTGTAGCTTGTATATTAAGTGTATATGCAGTACCGTATCTAATGTTTTTGCATAATCTAGGTAACTACATCCACTGGCTTTTCTCCATCCAAGTTGACATTCCTTTTCCACATAGAATGCCAATAGGATGGTTTGACAAGAACGGTCTTTCATGAAACCATGCTGGTTATCACTTATGACATCATTAACATTTACACATTTTTGAATGTAGTCTCTTATCATTCCCTCAGAAAATGTGCATACTGTGTATGTTAGGCGGACTGGTCTGTAATTCCTGGGTGCACGTCTTAATCCATTTTTGAAAAGGTAGTCTTTAAAAAAAAAAAACAAGTAGTGTTTTTCTTCTTTTGGCTGTACTGTACTGGACTGTGCCTTACTACCATATGGCATTTCCAGTCTTGTCCATGATCCTGTCCCTAAGGGCTCTGTGTGCCAGCTGTTTCATTAATTAACCTCTTATTATTAACCACTTGCTGACCAGGGTATTAAACCCCCTTCCTGACCAGGCCATTTTTCAGTATTCAGCGCTGCGGTACTTTGGCTGACGCTTTTTCCGTCATGCACCGCTGTACTGAAATGAATTTTATACCATTTTTTTGGGACAGATAGAGCTTTCTTTTGGTGGTATTTAATCACCACTGGGGTTTTTATTTTTTACTATATAACAAAAAAGTACTGAATATTTAAATAACAAATTTGTTTTCCCCTTATTATTTTTGAAAACGTTTATTTTTACCCAATTTTTTGCTAAAATATAAAAGTCGGGGTCATGTCGGGTTAATAGACACCAAACATGTCAAGCCTTAAAATTGCACGCGCCCGCGAAATCGCAAAAAACACCATAGCCAAAATTGGTCTGAGGCGACGCTTTAAAAGATTTTACCGCTCATCAGTTTAGTGTTCAGGGATTGATGGCCCTAAAATGATTGCTCTCATTGCGACGTTCGCGGCGATATGTAACATGTGCGGCATAATTGGAGCAATCATCGTTTTTGCGTGTAGGTGCATCTAACACATTTTTGCGTATCTATGTGGGGGTAGGGGACTTTAAAAACATTTTGTGGGGTTTTTTTGTTTTGAGTGTGTACATAATTTATTTCGTGAGCAAATTTTTTTTTACATTTTTTTTTACACTTAACTGTATTGTTATCACATAGGGTGCTAAGAAATACCCTATGTGATAAGAAATTACAGTGGCAGGTCCCCTTTATGGAGACATCAGGGGTCTCTAAGACCCCTAATGTCACCTAGGGACCCCCAGAGAAGCTGATGAAGCACAGATCTGCTTCATCAGCTTCTCTCCAGTCTCTTCCCGGAGAGTGACAGAGGAATGCGGAAGTGATGTAATATACATCACTTCCTGCATTCAGAGACCGGGAGGAGAGCGGAGGGAGATTGAGTCCTGATCTCCCTCCGTTCTCAGTGCACAGAGAGACATCGCCCGGACCGGATGGACGCCCGGGATCACAAGGACGGCGGTGGCGGGGACAGCGACCAGAGGTAAGGAGGGGCGCACCCTCACTTGTATCATACAAGCGATCGGGCGTCTTTACAGACGCCGGACCGCTTGTATGTAAACGGCCATCGCTGGCCGTTTAAAATCGAGGCGGTTTCCGGCTCGTGCACGCCAGGGGGCGCGCGCAAGCGGGCGCTGGCACGAGGGACATCTAAAGACGCCCACCCGCATCTAGGAGACTGGAGGTGGTTAATCACCACTGGGGTTTTTATTTTTTATTATTTAACGAAAAAAGGACCGTAAATGTTGAAAAAAAAATTAAATTGCGTGCGCCCACAAAATCGCAAAAAAATATCATGCCTAAAATGTTTTAACCACTTCTGCAGGCCGCCGTCTACAGACGTATTGCGGCCCGGAAGTGGTTAAAGACCCATGATGTTTCCATAAAGAGGACCTGTCACATCCTCTTTGCTATCACATAGGGGGATTCCTGGACAGCGTAGTAATCTGGAACCTGGACAGGGGGTGTTCTGTTTACTCTATTTTGTATCCTGACACTACAAGTACCAGAATTAACTTGTAGTCTGTCAGGGACTCCCGGAGAGGGCAAAATTCCCCCAATCTTCCTCCCACTCTGAGTAACTGATGGTCTGGTCATTGAGATTTCGGGGCATGCTGAGGGGGTTAAAGAGGCAATGCCCTTGGCTTTTCGCTTCTCCAAAAAAACACACTTTGGATTGTTCCTGTTTCTTCCCTTTGCTGAAATTCTGGCCCCTTGGCCACAAATAAACTTTTTCCGCTGCTGTTTTTGGGGAAGCAGAAAACCTTTTTTCCTATCAGCTGAACTATCCAAGACCGTTCCCAACTCTTGTCCAAAGAGCAATTCCCCCTTGAACGGCAGCCCACATAATTTTGCTTTAAAAACCGCGTCCCCAGGCCAAGATTTTAGTCATAACGCTCTCCTGGAGGAATTGATCAATGCCGTGTTTCTTGCCGATTCTAGCTGATTGATTTGGTCGAAGATTTTCCAACATGTTCCTTCGGCCAATGTCGATCTGATGATCGACTTCTGCTGAAGGAATAGGGTCACCAACGCAACACTGAGGGGAATTTATCAAAATTGGAGCAGACAAAATCTGGAGCATATGGACATGACAACCAATCAGCTTCTCTGTTCAGTTTGTTGAGTTAAGATTAGAAAATGAGAGAAGCTGATTGGTTGCCATGCACAGCTGCTCCAGATTTTGTCTGCACCAGTTTTGATAAATTCCCCTCTGTGTGTTTACCCTGCTTTTGGGCCTGTAAATTGGCTCAGTTCACACCACCATGTTGCAGTGGTGTGCGCTATAACAAAAAAACAAAAAAAAAGTACTGTATGCAGTCAGGTTTTTGTAGCGCATCATGGTGCAGTAAAGAGGTGCGATGTGGAATACATGTCTCTTGTATTTAGACAATATTTGCATATCCAGCTTTAAATTAATCGGGAAATGTTGAATGTATAAAGACTATTTTTTAATTGCTTTGTTAAACCTACCTACAAAAGTACTGTGTACATATATTCAGTGGTGGATGCAGCTGTACACATGTTATAAGAGAGATACATTTAAAGTTTAGGGCTATAACTTGTATCGTCCTTAAAACATTTTCCTGGAGGTTGTATATTTGGATAGCCCATTTAAAAACTGACATACCTCTATGATTTCATGTACTTTGCAAAACACATCAGCCAAGCCGAAACCCTCTAAAAACAGTCCACGCTGTCCCTTGAGAGTAGAGCTGCAGCTAACGATTATTTTCAAAATCGATTAGTTAGCCGATTATTACGTTCGATTAATCGGTTAATCGGATAAACAAGAGAGTGTAATGTCCATAACAAGCCGTGAATTGGTTTGGCTCAAGAAGTGGATTTAGACAACATTCTTATTCATTTCTAGCACAGGTAGCAACTAATGAATAAAGTGCAATCAT